GCAGGGGAACCTTTCCGTATCCAGGCGGACAAAAAAGCAGGGGGGTGGGGCGGGGAGGAAGGTTGCCGGAAGCCACGCCTTGATGCCCCGCCCCTCGCTGCCCCCACCCTCTCCGGGCTGCCTGAGATGCTGTGGGAAGCAGTGGCCAGGGGATGCCACTCGCAAGTGTCCTAGCCTTGGAGAGGCGTTGGACAAGTGGTGCTGTGCCGACCCCGCCCCAGGGTCCGGGGAAATCGCGCTGTGGGCGGGGCCGGGGCTCCACGTGGTGGGTGGAGGTGGGGCTCCTTCCCCCTCCCCCTCGCTGGCTGGCTCGGCCGGGCCTGTAACTGAGTCCTGGCAGCAAATCCCTTGTGTTGCTGGGCGCGTTGGTTATTGTCCCCATTTTATTGATGAGAAGACTTGAGTCTCTGATACCAAAGGCATTTTTCTAAAGCAGAAACCAGATCAAGAACGCTTCTCACCTAAACCTCATACCCACAGAGGTGGAAACTGGCTCCGCCAAGTTAAGGTGCTTTCCAAAAAGGCATCACGGTTAGCACGAGGCAGAGCCACCAGCTCCTTTAACTAGGTCTCAAAATACTGTCGTTATTGTTAAGATCTCAAATTTAGAGGCTGAACCAGCCCCCAAGCAATTCTAAAAGGGAAAATTGTGAACCTTAGTTTTCTTCTCTTTCAAATAGGGAACAACTCTATGCCTCAAAATTGCGACAGTTAAAAATGATTATAAATCACTTAACACAGTGCCTAGCACAGAATGAGCACTAAAGAAATGTACTACAGACTGAAGCAATGGAACCGACCTGACCAGAGGTACCTAGAAATTGCCAATACTCTGGACCCACAGAAATAGCAATTTCAAATGGTTCAACCTAATAGTTGACACTTCTGGAAAGCTGTCAAGGCTTCAGGGGCTCAAAGCCAGCCTGTGATGGCGGCCATGTTGGGAAGATGGGGTTTGACAGGGCATTAGGAGGGGGAAAGAGGCCCCTGGCCAAGAGCACCCACTCTAGCTCCAGCAGGGCCTTGAGCGTCCTCCATAGCTTCTCCTTTCAAACCAGTTTCACTTCCAGATTTGGGTGGGCACTGAGGGCCCTGCCCCACCCTCTTCCTGGCAAGGGCCTCCGGAAGAGGTGGGTGTTCAGAGAGAAAGTGACAAACGGCTTTTACCAAAGTGGCTGTGCATCCTCCTTCCCCGGTTGTCTTCAAAGACAGATAGGCCCAAGGGACTGGCAGCTTCAGGTGTGAGTTTGAGATCTTCCCTGTTGCCCAAACCACCCTTCCCAGTGCTGGTTGCAGATGTCTGAAAGGCCACCCTTTGACTTGTCTTCCTTCATCTGAAGACTTTTCTCCTTGGTGAACTCTTAAATGCCCAGTTGCATTGTCTAACAAGAGGGAAATTGTTGAATATATTATGGCCCTGAATGTAACAGAACACTACATATTAAATGAAGCAAATATTATTGACATGGCAAGATGTCCATGATATACTGTTGGGTGAAAAAACAACTTTTAAAAAGTTATCAGTAGTTTGAGATCAATTTCAAAAAAAATACTTATAAAATCATATCTGTATGTGTGTGTGGGTGGGTGGGTGGAGAGAGAGAGAGAGAAGGTGAAACTTAGTGTTCACACTAGTTATCTCTGGGTGGGGTGATTCTTACTTTCTTCATGTTTATCTATTTTCTAATTTCTTAAAAGAAACAATTATTACTTGTATACCTTTTTTTTGGAGCGTACTCTATTTCTCTTTGGTTTCTTAGCA